CCTCCCTTATCAATTGAATCAGACCTGAGTTCGAATACATTTGTATGGACCTGACCTGAGTTCTGTACAAAGTGAGTTCGAATACAGACCTGAGTTCGAGTTCGATGGAATCAGATGAGGACAAGGAACTCTGAACTTACGTTGGGCCGGTTAGTCCGAAGATGATACCTCAAGACCGTCGCCCTTTTCAAGAACGGGAAGGTGATTGTTTTCTCAGCGATGGGCTGTATGGAGGCAGCACTATTTCAATCCAAAGCCAGAGCACGTGATGACCAGAAGGGTGGATAGATGTAGAAACGTGTGGCATCATGAGCAATATGCGGGAAAGGGAAGAAGCAAAGAGGTACAATCTCTGCCAAAAGTGGACAGGGCAGGAGAGGCAGGGGAGGAGGTTGATGATTCATCATTGCCTGAAGGGCGTGAACAGGGAACGAGAGAACGACCCATAGACAGGTCGGCCACAGACTGAGCTGAACAGTTGTTTGACATGAGGGCGGTAAGTGATCATCAACCCTTCTTGCCATGCAATTGCAGCACTTTGATAGGAGGGCTGCAAGTGATAGTCCACGCATCTGACGACAAACTTTCCATGTCTTTATATTCGCATATGCGAAAGTGGCTATTATCACATAGCTGCATCTGCAGCTGGGGTAGCTGCAACTACAGCTGGGGTAGCTGCAACTGCAGCCTGGGGCAGCAGCAGCTGCAGCTGCAGCTACAGCTGGGGTAGCTGCAGTGGTAGCTTGGGGTAGCTGCAGCGGCAGGTGTGGTAGCTGTCGCTGCAGCTGAAGGTACTGGCCTAATAGCAGTCCTGAAAATTATCTAGGAAGAAGGGCCTAGTAGTAATGGTTCCAAGTTTCTGTTCGCCCTTTGATGTGAGCGAAGGACGCGAAGTAGAACTTGGAGAGGACACAGGGAGGAGCATTACTACCGTCCTCCCCCGAACATAACGCACCCTAAAAATGAATGTATACAAGCTATATTTCCGGCCAGATACAGCCAAAATGAGGGTGCGTTGTGTTCGGGGGAAGATGGTAGTATACTCGCTAGAGGGGTCTGATGAGACAGGCGTTTTGAAAGCCGGGCCCCACTGGTACCATGTCTGTGCTGACAAGGTGAGATACTCGTCGTGTAAATGACCAAGTTCTTAGCGCAATAGAGCTGTAGTGGAGCCCTGTCCCCGAGGCAGACGGAACAGGAGGACCTAAAGGACCCTGGCTGTGGTGGAAACAGGCAGGGTATATTAAGCGCGAGGGGTACCAAAAGATAGGAAGTTTGAGGTCTGGTGTCAAAGGCAAGTTTTGGGAGGAGGATGTAGGGGCAGACTTGAATAGCGGAAGTGTGTGCTGCTTGAATAGCGGAAGTGTGTGCTGCTTGAAATAGCAGAAGTGTCCTGGCCCAACGACAGAGACATAGGATGGCTGTGATGCAGAGGTATGTCCTGCAGGGAATAGAAAAAGTGTGTGCTGCAGGGAATAGCAAAAGTGTGTGCTGCAGGGAATAGCAATAGTGTGTCCTGCAGGGAATAACAGAGCTGTGTGCTGCAGGGAATAACAGAGATAATAGTTCCCATAGCTATGGACCATAGGCTTGGCACAGCGCGGAGGCATAGGATGGATGTGATGAGCTGTCAAAGCCAAATGCGCTGCACTACCGGTAGGCCTATTCAAGAGGGCGTAAAATACGACCCTAACCCTCCAGACCAGATCAAAAAAGAGGGGGAGAGTAAGGGGTGTGCGGTGTGCAGGCGACCCCGCTTCGTGGGACGCCGTGCCATCGCGCTGAGGGGCTGTGGATGAACGGAATTGCATTCTATTGGCATTGTTTTGCTATTATGTCGTTCTGTCGGTTTGGGAAGTGTGCAGTGTCCCTCCTCCCATGCCCCCGTGGCCCCTGGCTGAGATGCCTTGTACTGGTCATGGATCCCTATACACAGAGTGAACCATCCTTGCAAGGGAAAGATGAATGGAAAGGAGAAACTAACACGATGATACACAGTCCAGTGGCAATGAAGCATCAGAGCACATCTAGCTTTTTTTCTCTTCCTTAGGCTTGGACGTGGCATCTACAGTTCCCTCTCCTCCGTCTTGCCATTCCAGCCCTGCAGGAACGTGTGCGATGCTGAAATGATCAAGCAGTGCATTGGCGTTCTTTCCATGCGAGGTGGACTGCTGTCCTGGGTCGTTGTTGTTGTCCCAACATGTTTTGTATCTGACCTGCATAAGGTGGCTGCTGTTGAGACCCTGTTGTGTGCAGTACGTGGAAAGGACATAGGTTGTAGAACCCTTCTTATCTCTGCCTCTCTATTTCTGCCCTGTTCAAGACCGTTTATGCGTAGGGGTTATCATCTCTCCGCCTCCTCATTCCTATCTATATATGTGTCTGCACTTGCCCTCTCTCCCCTCCTCCTCCCCTCCCCTTCCCCTACCCTGTCCCTCTTCCTCCCCATTCCCCTCCCCCTTTCCTCCCCCTTCTTCCTCCCCTCTTCCTCCAAACATCCTCTCCCCCTCCCCCTCCCCTTCTCTCTCACTCACCCCTCCCCTCCCTCCCCCGTCTCCCCCCATCGAATATTCAGTTCTCCTATTGCAGACTTTGCAGTATCTCTTTTATGTCTATGTCTGCAAGGTTGGCGTGTCTAACACATGCAGAACTTCTTGCTGCGCTCTTGCTGTTTTGGTGATCTGACAGGTCGTGGGCTTCGTCCAGGAATGAGCAGAATCCAGCCATTGGCTCCGGAGAGAGGATCCCCGCTGGTAGTAGAGGCAAAGAGACCGGCTATGGCGTGCACCAAGAGGAGTAGGTCGCGGAAGTCTGTTGCAAGGGCTTCTGGGTTCCGAGTTCGCCTCTCATCGCCTGGAGGAAGAAATGTCCTCCGGCGCCGTCGTGCCAAGGGCAGGAAGAATCTGTGCCCGTCCAGCAATCCCAATTCAGGGAAATATGCATAAGTGTAGTTAGGTGCTGGGCACAGGCGGAGGGGAAGGGGCAGGGGGGATGGGGTGGGACGGGGGAGAGATAGAGGGCCAGAGAAGGGGATTCCTGGTCAATCAGTTCTTGTGAAAGTAGGTTCCCCATTGTTCCCCCTCCCTTCCCCCGCCTTTGTATGAACCTTTTTCTTTCTAGGTACACTAGCTGTTTCTTATACTTGTTCTTCATCAGCATCTCAGCTGTTATCTAGGCCCCTTGTTGTCCTGTCCTGTTCATTCTCTCGACTCATCAGCTGGTCACCCACAGAGTTCACCTGATGGTCAGTCGTTTTTCGACACCGGTTGGTTCTTAGTACTTCTTACACCTTTCATGTCTTACCGCTGATCATCAGAGAAGCATTCAAATCCCAGTCAGTAACTTGGGCAACCATGCAGTTATGGGAGGATTTCTACACTGGTTGGTTTTTACACCTCTCATGTCTCACCTCTGATCATCCGAGAAGCATTCAAATCCCAGCAACTTGGCCAACCATGAGGTTGTTGGAACACTATATATACAGTAAGCATAGAGTCAGATGGCAATCTCAGCGTGGACCATCAGCCTGGACCAAGATGAGATCCCTTTTTCGGCCAAGTTCCAGATGGCGATCTCAGCCTGGACCATTAGCCCAGCTCTTTCTTTTGTTTGTTCCCCCCCCAGAGTGGGAACGAGAAGTATGGGATATGTTTGGTGTGTATTTTTCCAACCATCCTGATTTACGTCGTATATTAACAGATTATGGTTTTGAGGGTCATCCGTTAGGAAAAGACTTTCCCTTAAGTGGATATGTGGAAGTTCGATACGATGATTCAAACTCTTTGGAGAACATCCTGTTGCCCCTTGGAGGGTTCCCCACGGGTAATAGGTGTGCTCTAGATAAACAGAGATCATCAGACCAGCTTCGGTCCCGTTCTGCCTAATGTTCTCCAGATGACAATCTCAACCTAGCTCGCAACCTCAGTTCACGATCCCTCCTTGAATCAGTGTCGCAATTTGGAAATTAATTCCTATGTTTGGTTTGATCCCAGTATGGAGCACAACCTTTTTGAGGAGGCGGCTTAGCTGGGGCGGACTTCCCATATTGGAATGCTCTCTGAAATTGGACTGCACAATCCCAAGCAGGAGCCCTTACCGGGGCCCAAGTCCCACCCAAGTCCCACTAGCGGAGGTTGCAGCGCGGCAGATGAGTGACAGTAGGAGGGGGGCAGAAGAAAAACAAGAGAGAGGGATTCAGAATCCCTAGTAATGATGAGACACTGAAAACGGGCCAATGACAGTGGCTGGGCACCTGTCGCCCGTTCGGACCTTGTTGCCACCGAAGGAAATGAGCTTACCCACAGCGGTAAGAGCAGCTATTCAAAATGGCACTGGTGGTTCTCCTGTGTAGCACGATGCGGGTTGGGTTACAGGTGAGGACCCCTCTACACCTGTGACCAAAAATGTGGCAAAATGTTTGGCCGATGGAAAACCGCCTTATGGGCACCCTTGCCTTAAATTGCTTTGCCAAAAAATCTGCCCGCGTATGCACCCCACGATCTCTCCAAGAACAAAACCTCCGCTAGTGTGACTTGGCGCTGGATCGTCAGTTGGTCAGTCAATAAACCACCAGTACATGGGCACCTGGGCCGCAGGTCTGACACCTCAAATTCTGGAGGTGCGGAACGAAAACGGGGCCGCTGATCGAATTTATCGATGGTGGGCCCAGCGTTTAACGTTTTGGCCTCGTTTTTTTGTGGCGACAAGTTTTCAGACTGCAAGGCTGGGGCCGTGTACTTGTGGTTTAAGAACCAGGTTCAGAATGAGGCATGCAAAATAGGTTGCTGCTGGTTGAATGACGGTGATATTTTGCAGTTTGCGAGTTGAAGTACGCACGTTTTCGGAAACCCTGCTAGGTATGAGGCTCTTGTTGCTCGGCAAGCAGAGGAGTATTTTGTCTGTACCTTGTTTGACCTTTCTCACACAGTTTTGAGTTGTAAGGGAGCGCTTCTCATGTACTTTGGACTGGAGTGTATTTTTTGGCTGTGACAGACCTTTTTTTTGTTTTGTGGGTGTTTTGCTGGCTTATGGTGGGGTGTGAACCAACAGTCTGTAGGGTTTTCCATCTGGTGTGGGTGAGTGATAGTTTGCGTTGATTTTCGTCACAGGTACCTTGAGGGCAGTGGTTGGTGCCCACCTTAGGGTATCAGTTGTCGGGCAGTTGTTGATGCTTAACCACAACCGGGGTTAAGGTGGATTATCACTTACAGTGTAATCAGTTAGGGGATTCTGCTGCAGACTCTTTTTGAGGGTTCAGCCTCCTGATGAGTCAGACGGTGAAACTCCGACGAAACAGCGTGTTACAGCCCCTCGATTGTTGTCCTATTCTCCCTCTGCCTTCTACGGTGTACCGGGCAGCTCTGTTTGACGACATATATAGGGTTCAGCATCCTGATGAGTCGGTGAAACTCCGACAAAAGCGTCTGTCACAGCCCCTCGTTTTTCGCTCTCTTCTCCCTCTTTTTTTGCCTATACGGTTTACCAGGCAGTTTTGACAATGTATAGTGAGTGGGACTGGTGTCTCCTGTTATGGACTCTTGTTCCTACTGCAACGATTTCCTGTGGTGGAATAATGTTTCCTGCAGTTATAACTGAGTATCTGTTTTTTAACTATGAAGAATCAGCACACCACTTAAACCACCAGCACACGGCCCCAGCCACAGTAAAAAAACTCATGGCTTACTTGGAAAATTTACAAGGCTTGGGGCTATCGGACCACAATGACTGGCAGAGCCAGCCAAAAAGGGAAAAAGTGCACTGCTGGTGGTTCGGCTAAGCTTGGCGTGCAGTGCGAGTCTGCCAGGCTCGGGTGAACTACCGGTTTAGTGTTGGGGGAAAGAGGAGACTCAGAACTATTTGAACTCTCTTCTTCTTTCCTTCTCTTTTGGAAATTTCTGTATGCGAAATGTGATGTCTACTACAAACTACAATTTTGTTCAGCGGGGGGGCCTGACCCCGGTGGCCGTAGTCCTTTTTCCATTGTTGGATGTTGGAACAGCTGGTCCAGATTTCCCCTGATACGCTTTCTTGTGTTGAGACGTGGTGTTGTGAACGGGCAACGGGTGGATTGTGAGAAGACGTAGATGCAGAAGAAGTGTGCAGGACTGTGGGCCATGTCATAACCTGCGTAGCATCGCGTTCGGGCTCGGTGACCAAACCCGAACGCTCGGTGCGGAGCCCGAACGTGGCCCAAAGCAGACCGAGCCCGGACATTTTTATTATTTTTATTATTTCTATTATTTGTATTATTTTTATTGTATTTGTATACAAATAGGGGTTGGGGGGCCCTGGGGGGCATTACTCATCACTACTGAACATACGCACGCACACACACCACACGCATGTACACACACACCGCACACACCACCCACACACCACCCACACACATCCCGCAGACCACACACGCAAGAGGACGCGCTCGGCCGCCCCCTAATTCGCGCTCGGCCGAACTTGTTTGGTTCCCGCTCGGCTGAGCATCCGAACATGCTCGGCTACTCGGCGGGGCGCCGAACATGTTGGGTGTGCTACACAGGTCATAACATGTGTCAGAGGGTGTCAGAAATTGTCAGCGTCGGGGAGCTCTCCGACACACCCGAGCGATTGTCGATTTAGCTTCTATTTGTGTACGGTTTGTTTTTCTCCTCCACAGTGCAGCAGACCCTAGTTCGGATCCAAAGTGCAAAAGGTACTAGCCCACCCCGTCTGCCTCACGTCCTGACAAAATGAATCCGTTGGTGAGTGTTGTGTTTTCTTGCACAGTGCGGCAAACCCGAGTTTGAAACGGAAGTGCTAAAACCGGACACAGTCTCTCCCAAGGCTAAGGAAAACTAGCTTCGGCCTGGTCCTAACGGACCCAAAACTGAAATTAGGGTTTGGGGCTGAGTGAGGACGCCGCCCGGCCGGGCAGGGCCGGGGGGGGGACCCGGGTAAACTGGGCGGGCCAGAAAAACACCCAGAATTTTTTTCATTTTTTTTTTGGAACCTGGGTCGTTCTGCGCTCGGCGAGAGGACCCCGAATCTGCAATAAAATTTTGGTTTGGGGGGGTGGGGTGGGGGGGTTGGTCTGGGTGGGGGGTGCTGGGGTTGGGGCGGTGTCTGGGATGGATGATGGAGGATTGCGAGATGGGATTGAGGGAGGGGGGGATGAAGGATGGAGAAAGGCAGGGAGGAGTAGGGAAGGAGGGGAAGAAGAAGACGAGGAGAGAAGAAGACCTAATGAGGGGGGAGGAAGAAGAAGAAGAAGAAGAAAAAAAAAAAGAAGAAGAGAGGTGAGGAGGGGAAGAAGAAGATGACGAAGAAAGGTCGAGGAGAAAGATGAAAACGCAAAGGGGGAGGAGGGGAAGAAGAAGAAGACGAGAGGACGACGAGGATAGAAGAAAAGATGAAAACGCGAGGGGGAGCAGGGGAAGAAGTGGAAGACGAGATGACGACGAGGAGAAAAGAAGAAGGAGAAGACGACCGAAGGAGGGGGAGGACGACGGCCTTCGTTTTTTTTTCTTTCTTCAACCTAACGTGTCTCACGTAAACTACCGAATGTCAATAAGGTGGAAGAAGAAGAAGAAGCAGAAGGAGAAGAAGAAGAAGAGATGAAGAAGAAGAAAAGAATAAGAGGAGAAAGAAAACAAGTGGGGGAGAAAGGGAAGACGAAGAAGAAGATGAAAGGTGGGGAGGAAGATGAAATCGCGAGATGAACGAGGGGAAGACGAAGAAGACGAGTGGAGGAGGAGGAGGAGAGAAGGAGGAGGAGGAGGAGGAGAGAAGAAGTAGAAGAAGATGAGCCGAGTAGGGGGGGGGTTAAGTGGACGGCCTGTCGTATCTCACATGACCTGCTGAATGATCTAGAAGAAGAAGACGAAGAAGAAGAAGAAGAAGAAGAAGGGGAAGAACTATGGGTGCGATAGGGTATGGCGGCGGCGGTAGGGTATGGAGAAAGGCAGGAAGGAATAGGGAAGGAGGGAAATAAGAAGACAAGGAGAGAAGACCTAACGAGGGGAGAAGAAGAAGATGAAGAAGAGGAAGAAGAAGAAGAAGAAGAGAGGTGAGGAGGGGAAGAAGAAGAAGATCAAGAAAGGTCGAGGGGAAAGATGAAACACGAGGGGGCGGAGGGGAAGACGTGGAAGAGGAGATGACGACGAGGAGAAAATAAGGAGAAGAAGAAGAGTGGAGAAGGAGGGGGAGGAGGACGGTCGTGTTTTTTTTTTGTTTTTTTGTAACCTGTCGTGTCTCACGTCACCTACTGAATGTCGATGAACTAGAACAGGAAGAAAAAGAAGAAGGAGGAGGAGGAGGAGGAGGAGGAGGAGGAGAAGAAGAAAAAAAAGAAGAAGAACGGCTCCTTCGTCGGCGGGGCCTTCGTCGTAGCAGCAGCAGCAGGACAGTCGGGGCCTTCATCGTAGCAGCAGCGACAGGACAGATGGGCCTTCGTCAGAGCAGCAGCAGCTGCACACCTGATGGCGATGGGCGACGGGTGACGGCACAACAGGAGGAGGTCTGCAACTGGGATCGTGTTGGGGGGCGAGTGGCAGCCCACCCCAGCCGATCGAAGGTTTGAAGGGGGGAGAGGGAGTTTGGCGCCAAGATCCCACTGCTCTGTGGCCGTCGATCATGGAGGATCGACGTCCACAGAGCCGACGAAAAATTCAAAAAACAAAGCAGGCCTACCGGGCCCGACGCTGAGTTTTTTTGGGCCGGTCGGACCCGGTAGGCCTGCAGGAGGCCAGCAGCAGCCGAAAGGGGGTTCGAAACCCCCCGGCAGGTGACCGCGCTGGGGGGGCCTGGCCCCCAACCGGGTGCCCTGCCTGGCCAGGTCGCCCGGGACCTCCCCCGGGCCGCGGCCTGTCACCTGGTCGGCCCAGTTCCCCACTCAGGTTTGGGGCTCAAATTTGATGTTTTTTTTTTGTTTCTTTTTGGCCTGTTTTTTGTTTTGGGTAAAGGTTCGGTGTACCGAATGTGGTCTCATTTGGAGCATTGGAATTTCCTCTGCTGAGATTTCTGAAAATTTCCAAGATTTATGAGATTGAATGTTCGCAAAATTCACATGAAAGTGCACTTTTGCCTCGCTGTTTTATAATTTATATATAAATATATATGTATACAGGGTCACCAGCCCGTACGTACGGAGGTCTCCGGGCAGACCTCCGTACGTACGGGCATTTGGGGTCCCGTACGGGGTCCGAACCCGACAGCGTTCGGCCCCCGCCAAAAATTATTTCGGGGCCTAAAAATAATTATTTTTTCCTGAATTTGTTTTTGTGAGTTCTCTATGACGTGAGGTACATGCCTGTAAATTTTCACGTCATTTGGCTAAGCCAAAGAAGAATTAAAAATCGCCAAAGATGGCGGTGTCAAAACGTGCTCGCCCATGTATTTTTTCACTTTTTACTTTTTGTTTTCACTTTAGTTCGGGGTCTAAACAATTTTATTATTTTTTGAAACTTTTTTAGTGGGTTTTGTATTATGTGAAKTACACATCTGTAMATTTTCAGGGCATTTAGCTATGCCAAAAAAAAATGAAAAATCGCCAAAGATGGCGGTGTCGAAAACATGCTCGCGCACTCATTAAATTTAATTCTCTTTTTATTTTTATTTATTTTTATTATTAGTATTTGTTTTCTGTATTTTATTTTTATTTCAAATTTGGTAAGGAATTCGGATGTAATGCTCAGGCAAATCTTGTTTAATTTATTTCTCTTCATAACATATCTTTTTTTCAGATGTTTTTGGTGACTTTGTTTTTTTTTTTTTTTTTTTTTTTTTTTTTTGGTCCGCGTTCGGCCTGAACGGCCGAACACATCCCCAAGGGGTCCCATACGTTCGGGCGTTCGGGTTTGGGCGTTCGGCCCGTCCCAAGCGCCGGTTACCCTGTATGTATATATATATTTGTCTTTTCAAGGGGGGGGCGGGTGCAGTTTAACTGTCGTTGAAAGCCGTTAAATCCCCCAAACCCCCATTGAATTCCCGTTGACTAAATAAACAGGGGCTCTCTTACCACTTTCTTTTCAACGGTGGGGGTCCATAGTGGTTTGGACACGTGGCCCAACAACCCCGATCTCCCCCCCCCCACCCTCCCGGCCATCCCCCCACCCCTCGAAATGCCAACCAACCCCCCACCAGCCCCCACCCACGTAGCTCTCTCTCTCTCTCTCTCTCTCTCTCTGCCCCCTCCTCGTGGAGGGCTGGGTTGGAGATTAAGGCTCTGGGGCCTTGTCCCAACCTATTGGGTAAGGAGAAAGAATAATTTTTTTTTATGGGTGAGTTGGGGATGGGGGTGGGTGATTAGAATTAAAAAAACAAAAAAAACTAATTAATTGATTACTGTAATGGGCATAATCCGCAGGAAACCAACATATGTCTGTGTAGGATCCTTAGAGACTATATGTGAAACAACTTCAGGCGGTTAGTATAGTCGCCTTGAAACTAGT